ATATACTTTATATTGCACTCTATATAAATATAACCTATCATATCTGTATATCTCCTATGTATACTCTATTTATCCTGTATATTCTTTATATAAATATACACATAATTGCAAGCCTTTAAATTAACTCCAGTTTCTCTAGGTATGAAATCGGTTATTTTGGTTTCTTCCATTTCACTTGAAAGAGTGTTCTTTAATAATATGACTTTACTCTTAATGAGTGCAGTCATCCTAAACTCATGCCAGAAAAAACATTGTACAATAGTCCTCTATCATGTGTTACATTCATTATCTGACTGTAAGACTGCACTCCTCCATACAATTACATTGGGGTCGAACATAAAAATGTGTAAATGTGTGTACTTGTAATAGGAATGCGCTTTGATGGTTAGATCTCTTTAAACAAAGACAGGAATTATCTCATTCATTTTGCCAGATCTTGATCTCTCCTTGAAACAGAGCAGCATCTAGCAGAGCATATCCATGGCAGCTATCATAATAAACTCTATCTAAAACAGTAAGACAGTCTTCAAGGTCCGCTCAGAATTTGAATAAAAGGATAAGCAGCTGGAGACAACAATGAGCAACAATAATTAACTATAAGACAAACAAATTAAAAATATACAGCAAAGGCAGTCATAATATGACAAATCAACTGCAAATGTTCAGTGCATTTCTTTTAAAAATAGAACATAAATTAGAAAAGCATATTTTTTGTCTTGTTTTACTACCCTGCACATTTGTAGTTGATTTCTATGTGCTGAGGTTGTTCTTAATTTAATTGAATAGGATATGTGTTTTCCTAGAGTTGTCCAATGCCCTGGCAAGGGCAGAAGGGTTGGTCGGTGTGACGGATATGCTCCTTTCCCAGCTCAACCTGGCCTGTACCTTACATGCAGCCCCGTTCAGTTGATAACCACCATCAATTTATCTAATCCTGGTAGGCGCCACCATTCTGATTTCTTCTGCCACTCAGACTCAACACAGCAGTCCTGAAGGCTGCATCTGACGGGGAGATAAGGCTAATACACTAGCCRATGGGCCTCTGAAATGAAAGAATGACTATAAGTCAATCATCTTATCCTATAAATACAGRGACAGCCCGAGAGCTCCTTGAGCTCTCCTGGCATGGCAGCAGGCTGCACATCAGGATCTCCCCTTGAGCAGGGACGCCTCTCAAGGTTACCCCTCAAGGTTGAGAGATGCCTTTCCACAACAGATTCGTGGTGAGTGAACATAGTGCGCTCTCTTTCTTTAACTTTACTTCGTAACTGTGCACAGAAACCCTTAGTCATAAACCGTTGACCAGGTCTGGAACTAGGATTGGATCCAGCCGCACCCAGACTCCTCTCAGAAGGAGCCTGGAAAGCAAGGGGGTCCTTTCTGAACCTCGTGACCCAACGGGAGGGTATCCCAAGATAATCGTGTAYTATCTTGAGCCTCCATGCAGTGAATAATAAGCGACCTTGCCATAGAATCTCGTGAAATCATTGTCCGTATTAATAAATCCTGTTATTATTTCTTTCATACGAGTGAAGTGCATTTTGTCACTCACCTCCTCACCCCCGCCACCTCTCGTTCCGTGACAGTCGGKCAGGAAGGCTAAAGAGCTGAGAGTTGGTGTACACAGGTGTACATTGAAAAACGAGGTGAGAGGAAACAGTCCATGAGATGGGATGTATGGCACATTGTTCCGATGAAACAGATATTGCTCTAAGGCCAGCACCAGATGAATAAGCCTGCAAGGTCTTGAGTGCAAAGGAATCAGAAATACCGAGGGCAATGAAGTCAGTTAACAAGTTACTGATTCAAAGGACATTTTTCTCTGGATCTGAAATTGGTAGCTGTGTGCAGCCTGAAAGGAGGAAAGATTTCCTTCCTACTTGCACTTGCTCTGAGTATTCATTTACCAGACTTCATGTCTGCAAAGGGGATTTGATTAAGTCTTTCATACATCTCATAGAAAGGTAACTGTGTTAACAGCTGACACTGAATATTCTCTATTAGGCCAAATTCTGTCCTGATTGACACCTAAGGTTTCTTATGAAAAGATCATTTAATGAAAGAATTCAACCCACTTCCCATAGTCTATATTTATACTAGTAAATTGAACCATACCAAGGAAAATTTCTGTTTACAGAAGTAATCTCATCTGCACTTATACTTTGTTACAATGATTCCTGGAGCAGTGTTGGCCTGGGCCAATTAGCGCCATCCCAACACATTTTTAGGCATAAAGCAGGAGGAGTTAGAATGGACTAGGGATGACTCCAAGGAGAAAGCTTGGAAATGGCCCTCATGTTTTGCAATAGGAGAGTTACTTAGTATGGATGAGCTTCTCTGGGCTCAGTGGCCTTGGTAGCAGAGAATGGTCCAAGGCATACTTAATTCTCTACTGCCAACGTAGCCATGGAATCCAAGAACAACAAGAACAACGAAGTCCTTCACATTGAGGAAGAATCAGTTGCCAGTCTGGGTAGAAGCTAAAACACTATCAGTAAAATGGTGGTGGAATCCATCCCGACACAAAACAACCAAAAAAATCAATAACAACAACAAAAAAGGCCCTTGTGTGTATTTTTAGTTTTTTAGTCACCCTTTACAATTCAGTAACTATTCCCACTGGCAGGTTTACATTGGATCGGCCGTATTCTTTTCCCTCACTTTAATACAATGCTTGAAACTGCAGACCACCTATCCTTTGTGAATCTCTGATTCTGGCTTCTCTCTTGTAATCTCATGAATTAATTAACAAAATATCTCCTTGTAAAGCAGGCATTACTGAGTCTTATTTTGCATACTTGCAAGAAAGTACCGCAAATTAAAGACCAGGCTGGGAATTCAGGAATCCAGTTATCCCTGCTGTCTGAWTGCTTGTTGGCAAATGGGGAGATAATAAAGGTATTTCATGCCAGTTCTACATAAGGAATACAATCCTCATATTTTGGATCCTATATGTCCGCTTCACATTCACAGGGACAATATTTTCACCAGCATTTGTTTGCCATGTCAAGGATTGAGATGCTCACTGAAAGCATCAGTCAGACTAGCGCATTTTAGTGAGCTGGGTGAAAACACTTCTTTTTCAGGCTACTTGCAAATTCTTGCAGACTGCAGTATGCACAAGCTACACTCATGCCAAGATTTGCAACTTTTGCCTAAGTTCATATGTCTAGAAACATTAATTGCTTTATGTTTGAAAGAAAGCTGAAATTCTCCCCTGATCATCAGATTCCTTTTGCTGGAGCGGCAGCGCAGCACGGCACGGGGCCCCCCTGCCTCTCTCCTGATATGGCCCAATACAGCCTCCTCTGCCAAGAGATAATGAAGGCATTTAAAACTATCAAACATCATTTGCAGAATGCTCCTCTAGGAAAGAGGCTGATGGGATCCTCAGGACTCAGCAGAYGGCGAGCGAGGATCAGGCAGTACTCCCATTCCCATCATCTGGAGCAGAGGGGCAGCAAGGGTGGTAGCTGATAGTTCCTCGCTGCTGCCTGGGCAAGGAGAAGGGCATGTCCATAAAGTGGAAAGGAGGGTTGGAGGGATGGCTCCTCAGTCTGGAAACTAAGATGAAAGAAAAAAAATGAGTTGCAAGCACACGCCCAGTCTGCCTACAGCCCTTTGGGAGGACACTAGTTATGCGATACCTCGCAAAMCCCAGCAACAGGCCACATTTGGGGCTTCTGAATGTCCCTAATGATACAGACCAATCAAGGAATTCATTCTTGCTCCATCCTCATCCTTCACACACCCTAACAGCAAAAGGTTGTCTTTTTAGGACTGAGTCTGACTTGCGTGACTTCGGTTAGAAGGGCCCGGTGTGTTGCGAATTTGTTGAAGTGTGCTTAAAGACATGTTGGCATGTCACGCTGTTAAATGAAAAATGCATTTTACTGCCGTGCTGCAGGGGAGCCTTAAAGAAGAGCAGTCAATCTCAATTAATGTGAAAAGAATCTGGCCGTGTGTATACTGAAAAGGGTTTGCTTTCTGCCATCAAAGTGCTTCCCAGCTGGATGTTGTTAATAAATAATCGTCTGGTTTCACTTACTGCCTTAAGTTCAAAATATTCATGTTTTATGGATAGTCCAAAAAAGCACAAAGCAGGAAGATCTGAGTTACCATTCCTGGATATTACAAGTCATTTTATAAAACCTGGTGATATAGAAGATAATTGCTATGGTCATACATGAAAGGCTTCTTTAGCTGCTGCCTCCACTTACAGGGCCTCTTTTTAAAGTTTTACAAAATGTTTGTCATGTCCCTGGCTTTAGGAACTGAAACCTGCAGAATATCTTTGTCAAAACTAGTTTGATGTTTCTTCTCCTATAAGTATCTCTTGATGCAATATAATGATTTATTTATTAATCCTTTTATTTAGAAAACAATTTCTCTTGTGTAAAAAAATACTRTGTTTTACGGCCATATATTTTATTTAAATGGAGGCTGTGTATKGTAGCACACCAAATCTATTTGTTCTCTTTAAGCTTACTCCAATCTAAGCAGGAAAATAGATATAATGCAATTAGCACTGCTCTATTTAACTACATTTTACACATATGCATAAATTCTATTTATATTCTAGAGCCTATGTGCTTTGAAAATCAGCTTTCATCACGGCTATTTTATCCAAAGATGCTGAAAAGATTCAGATGCTCAAGTCTCATTTTCTTTTCTCCATTTCCAGTGCAGAAAAGACTGGGAAGTGTTTAACAGAGGGATAACCTCAGAAATGTTATGCTCACTCTTGTCTGCTGTTAGACTCCACGACTTCTGGAAATGCAATGAATTTGCACATGGTTGATGTTTCCAAGGTTTTATTCTGAGAGTCTTGAGCAATGTCTTTATTCCTCCCTTTTTAATATTCCAAGACTTACTTTCTGGAGAGCTAGCTTTCCAATTGGCTWTTTACAATCAATCATAAGAGTCTCACAGACTCCCTGTTTGCACCTCAGTATCTAAGAGAGAAATTAAAAGCTTGATTTTATCGACTGAGATTAGAACTCTGCATAGTTTTCATTTCAGCTCAAAGTTCATTTAAATCAGACCCAGCCTTGGGCATCTGAGCTATAAAAACTTCTTCATTTGTGACCTCACAGATTTTTGAAGAGATGAAAAAATTATTTGAGCCTCAACTTGGCCATGCTAATTGCCTGCCTTTAACAGGGTAACCTTTTTATTGACTTTGGTAGTCAAGACTAGGGCTTTTGCTCCAACTTCTTGAAAGAGTATCACCCATAACACCAAATTAAAGACTAAGGATCTCTTGGAAATGGACTAGAGCAGAAGCAGAGCTCCGTAGTGCCAGATGGACATGCCTTGAAAATAAGATTCATCATAGGTAGCAAAGTGCTTAAGCTAATTAATCTGTCTCTTTGCTGTATTTCAGCAACTATCTGTAGTCCTGAGTCAAGCACCTGCTTGAATGAGACAATTCAGCCATCCACTTGGAAATGGAGACTTCACTCATATGAAGAGGTAAGGCTTGATATTGCCATCACCTTAGATATAATATGCCAGTGGTGAAGACACTTGTTCAAGACATCAGACCTTTAGATTTAACACTTTCCATGAGAATGTGGAAATCTTGGAATTAGAGGCCATTCTGACCACAACACAGTACACCTCATTTGTGGGAATTTCACCCTCAATATAAAGGGAGATAGACATAGTGTAATAACATAGCTAAGTCGATTCCATGGAGAAAGTCATTGTCCTCTCCTGGGACTGGACCTAGGCCTTCGTGTGAAGCTTATTCATGAACTCCAGGCTGGGTAGTGGTCCCAGGGRCAGCCTCTGTGGAGAGAACAGCAGCAACTCTGGCACTTCTTGGACATCTGCAGACCTTGCTGGGGAAGAGGAGCTGTGCATCCCCTGCATGGACTGAGACACCTCGTTTTTCCTAAGCTAAATGCTAGATTTCAAGGTACTATTTTTGATCAGCCCTATATTATATAGCAATTTGATTTAAAGAGATAGCTTGCTTGGTTTTAAAATCATAGAAGCTCCAATAAAAATATTTTTGAGAGAAATTAAGAGTTTTGTTGGAATTATATACCTGGACCTGGCTTTTACGGTATGGATAAAATACCCATGTACTGAACTTGGTCTGCAATAGTTTATATCAAGTTAATGGAAAAATGTTACTGTTTGGTAAGATTACCTGATAACCAAAACGTACTTTTGAGGTAATATCAAGGAGTTAATTTATTATTATGGCTGAAAAGTTTTGAGGGATCATGTCATTAAAATTCCTGTCTTGCAGAAAAGAACAGAATTTTGCCTCAGTCAGGAAGCAAGAACAAAATTCATAGTTAATTTCAACTATAAGCTTTCAGATACTCAGAAAATGGGTATTTTTTAACTAAATATTTATCTCAGAAATATGTATCTCAAGAATAATTAAAAAATACAGGTTTTGTACATTGCTTTCTCTGAATAAAACCTTATCTTTAATATATTGTTTTCCAAAATTTTTCTGCCACAAGTCATTCTTGTGTGAAATGAACTCTGATATAATTTTTACTCCTTCTGATAAATTTTAATAGTTTTAGGGTTTCCTTTTTTTTTAATAATAGAAATGTGTAAGACTGTTAGCAAAAGATAGGGTCATTTACTTGTGGTTTAGCATATGAAATGAGCTGGTGGTCTCAACTTACTCCCTGTTAGAAAAGGGTTGTCACTTAAGGCAATTAAAAACTGGCATCTTTCACAAAGACTGTATTCAGTTCTACAAGTTAACAAATGAAGTCTAAAATTCTAGTAATTTCAATCATTCTCTACATCAATTTCAGTTTGTCATATTCATATGCAGTAAAAAAAGTTTGATTACTTTGAAAATACTCATTGCTGACTACTCTAATTTTTAATATTATTTCTTTCCAGCTTATCTAGAGCCTTTTTGTTAYGGAAACAAGTAAGTATGATAACATATGATAAAGAATGAGAAAAAGTTGTACATGATGTATGTGCCTGAATTAAATGGTGTACATTTTGAATGGAGAACTATTACACCCATTTTTACAAATCAGGCTGAGGAAGTATAGCTCATTTATTAAAAAAAAAACCTGCCAATCATATAACTAATTCATAGAAGCAGTAGGCAATTAGCATATGTAAAAAAGTATTTGTAGGATAAGTAGCTTAATGTGAATATCTCTCCTACAATAGTAGGAGAGTAAAATATATAGACTTTTCTYGTTGAGAGCTCGTATTTTTTTGCCAGAGTCTAGAGCTGACATTGTTTTCCCTCAAAAGTAATTTTGCATATTACCTTCAATAAATGTAATTTCATTGAAATACTAAAATTTGAACCATATTTTCCATTCAGACTATATTATCTTTTAGCTGTTGAACTCGAGGCGGCCAGGAGTTCACAGATCTGCCATAATGTGATTCTTAGCTTAACTGAAAGAATATCCCTTTTCTTCATTCTTATGGTTGTATAGTGTCTCTGTATGTGTTGTCTCCATAAAGTAATATTTGAAAGAAGTTAGGTGTTTTGCGCTTTTGTATCTTCTGTTTTTTATGAGATTGAATGGGAGGAAAGAGATCTACTAGCATAATTATTTTATAACCAAAAGGAAAGAGATTGTTTCATAAATCTGTGTTAAAAATGAATAAATTCATGGTTTTAGGGAATTCTCAATTTGTTTATAAGAAACAGATCTTTGTTTTATTTAAGAACATATGAATCTTCAGCTATCAGCTATCTTCAGCTGATATTATATATATATATCATATGATATCATAGCTGATATCATATATATATTATCACATATATATATATGATAAATATAGTGTTTTAACATGACATCATTTACCATGACTCTTCTAATCATAGATTCAAATGGCCTCGRTTCCATTAGTCTCTGTTTTTCTTATGTTTATCAATTCTTAATTATATTTAGGATAAGCAGATTAGCATTTTTTATTCACAGGTTATAAAAACACTGTAAGAGTCATGATAAATGGTCACACAGGGATTCTGTTACAGAATAAGAAAGAAAATACAAATCTGATTCACAGACAAAATCTGCTTGCACTGTAAGACCAGTTTTCTCCTCACAACATCATTTTGAATTTATATCAATAATGATTCCAAATGTAGTGATGTTGCCACAGATAGTTTAGGCAGGTAAAACTGATCTGATTCATTTTCATCTTCACAGGGCAGGTATATAACTACTTACCCTTGTAGAAATGTCCTTTACATCTACATTTATTAAAGAAATATATATACAATATCACCTCAGATCAAAATATTTCTCTGGTTTGATTTATTTTATGGAAATGAATGGAATTCTACTTTTGCCAAATGCATCTTAACTCAAACCAGCACCTGTTCCTTTAAATCAACCAGTAATCCTTGATATAACTTAAACAAGAAGACTTGTCTTTGAGAAGGACACACTGAGGAGAGTGATAAATCCTTCAGCACACCATATAATATTGTGTTTCTGTCCGTATATTGATCATTTCCTTCATAGGCTTCTAAGTCAGTTATGAGTCAAGTGGGCTATACTGATTAGCTCAGCTTGAAAGGTCAAAGATATTAAACTTAGAATAAATCCTATCTCTTTTTAGTTAATAATGTCTAGCTGATGAGTACATCTGTTCTTTTTTTCTTTCTTACCTTGCTTACCATGGTACAGTACATTTTTATTTTTTAAGAGTTTTATTAAGCCAGTTTTTTAACTATCCATGCCATAGAAAAGTCATGATACATATCTTCAGCTACTTCCTTGTATCTAGGTGAAAAAAATGAAGTAATTCATGGTTAGACTTCCTGGGCTCTAGGAAGAGGCAAAATGGTCTCCCCAGGGCGTTTAGAGAGGCAAGGTTTTTCTGTGCGGAGGAAGACAAAATAGCCATGACTTTCATCTGGCTTTGTCTATACTCTATCTTTTACAGAATTGCTAATGTATCACATAGATGACTTCATGTCCCTATGTGAAGGCTGCTGCTAGAACAGTGGTGGTATCCTCTTTCCCTGGCAGAAATAGCAGCCAGAGAGGCCATTTATCCTACAGATCTGATAAAAAATACAGCTCGAAACTGCAATTTCAGTCCTGTTCACAWGACTATCTTCTATAATGAGCTGTCCTTGTTCTTGGACTTCTTACCATGAAGAAAGGGGAAGAACTGAGATGGATGAATCTAAGCTGAGAAATCCTGTTCTGTTTTCAGAGAACCTGGGGTTCATGCATACTCAAAGTGCCATGGGCTGTACCTCTTCTTCCAGCTCCTTCTAGGAGATTGTCCTGGCCAGGACCTATCTGGTCATTCATGCCTTGACTGGGGATCTTGGCAGATGTCCTGGCTTCTTTTCCCTGGAAGTTTGCCTGTAGGAAAAGGGAAGTGTGGAGTCTCCAGAACTAGGATCCCACCAGAGTCCTGCACTACGCACAACTCCACAATTCCCTTCCGCTACAGGTGAACACATAACAAAATCCCAAACCATCAGTTAGTACTTCCGTCATTTCTACTACGTATGGCAGCAACAAGTCTGACTCTTCCATTTTTTCTTAGGATAACAGCAGGCAGCCTACAGCCCTTGCTTGTGGAAGGAAAATATATGATTTTAAGAAGCCTAGGTTCTGACTAGCTGTAATACTTCTCCATAAAAGCTGCTATATAGAGAGACCAGACAGWCCAGGTTCAGATTCCCTAAGCTTTTCATTTATCCAATACTAGCTAAATGAAAATGTTTTATTTGCTTTATTAATCATGCTTAATTAATAGAACATGATTAATAATGCTGTATTAATCATGTTTGTTTTTAAACATTCTCTCAATAGCATAGGACAGGCATCTTAAAACTACTTTTCCCAATTTTCTGGCATTAATTATGTGCAGAAGTGAAAATATACATTTCTATGACTTTTTCAAAGTCTTACCATATATCAGTAAGTCAAGCTGTAACACATACCATATGCTATATGACTAAGTGAGCACCTCACTGAGAACAGAAAATTGCAAGGATGTTGCAGAAGCAGGTAGGCATAAAACATTTAACAATGTATGAACTGAAAGGAATGGATCTTCTAGACTTGAACATATGATCCCACATGGGCTTAAATGTTATTGGTAAGTATGTAAGTTAGCAGTATGTTTTTGAGACATTTTGAACTAGTAAGAATGGTTTAAAGTGGAAGAAAATCTGTAGAATTGAGAGGGGTTCATCTCAGCCATGGGTTGTGAAGTTCTAATGACCCATTTCTGCAACTTCACTCTTTCAGGGGAAGGAAATAAACCAATGCATTAGAGTCAAAGTCTCCTTTGTGAGACACCACTGCAAATTCTTTGTTCTTGTGTTATTCAGTGCCATATACTATTAAGCCCTTTCAGCATATGATGCCACTGGACCCAGAACAGGAACTGTGTTGTCCCTATGCCCTGAAAGCATCGCTGATGAGGCCTAGGGCCTCAGTCCC